GCCTCTACCTCAAGGGAACAGCTGCCCAAGTCTGGCTGATCATTAGTCCACTGCAGCTGTGTGCTAACTACAAATGGCCCTGACCTGACCTGAGGACAAACTCTTTACCAGCCCCAGGGAGCCATAAAAACTTGGCACTTGTCCCAGGCTTGCCCCAGCTAGATGGGAGGGGACCCCATGGAGGCACTGTGGGGCCTGTGCCTAGAGGATCATCTCAAGGGGCATGCTCTCCCTGAGAGCCTTACCTGCTAGCCGCCGGAACCCCTCCGTGCCACTGATAGGGCCAGGGGCAAGGCTGTTGACTCGGATGTTCTGGGGACCCCACTCCACAGCCAAGTGCCGTGTCATTGCATCTGCAAGAGAGGAAGACATCATGAGGGAGAATGCAGGGATGCTCTGCCTTCTGGGGCAGCCTAGGTGGAAGTGGGGACTCAGATCCAGGGCTGGGCCTCTCCACTGCCTACTCGGACACTGTTGACCTCCAAGGATGAGCTGGAAAGAAACCCTAAGGAACCCAGGAGAGCAGACCAGATGGGGTACCGTACCCACGGCCGCCTTGGCAGAACCTGCATGCAGTTGGAGCACCTGCCCACGGGTACCCAAGGTAGCTGTGATGTTCACAATTACTCCTCCATGATCCTGTAACACATGATGTGACGGGGGTATCAGTGAGCAGAAGGCCAGAAGAGGGGAGGTCCCAGCAAAGAGAACACTCACCCGGAAGAACTTCTCGTAGAGCACATGAGACACATTGAATGTGCCTAAGGTGTCAATGTCCATCACAGTCTTGAAGGCACTGAAGGACAGCGCACTGGCTGGGCACAGGAAATTACCAGCTGCACCTGCAAGGAGGAAGGAGACGTGGATGGTGCTAGAGCCCTGGGAAATCAGAGCATATTGACGTCAGGGTGGTCCAAGGTGGACAGGGAAGAAGGCCTGAGAGTGCCCCTGATTCTGATTCAGCCGAGTTCACAGTGCAATGACTCAGAAGGAGCGGAGTTGGGCCAAGACAGTGGCCTGGAGCCTGGAACAGGAGTACTGGGATCTCCAAGTAGGAAGGTCTGGTATTGCTGACTCATCAGAAAACCCCATCCTCGCTCGAAGTGACTCACAGTTTATGAGAATGTCAATTTTGCCAAACTCCTTCAGAGCCTGGTCCACGGCGGTCATGATGGCTGGGGGAGCTCGAACATCTAGAGATAAAGGGAGACACCGCTGGCCAGTGGCAGCAGACAGCTTTTTGGCAGCCTAGAAGCCAGACAGGGAGAGAGAAAAGAGGTGAGCAGTGGCCAAGTGGCCTCAGCCTGGAGGTAACAACCCTTCAGAACGTGAGGAGGGCCCTGGCCAGGCAGCTTAGTTGGTCAGAGCATTGTCCTAATATACCGAGGCTGCGAGTTCGATCTCTGGTCAGGGCACATATAAGAAGCAACCAGTAAATGCATAAATAAGCAGAACAACAAATCAATGTTCTTGCTATCCTTTCCTCTCTCTGGAAAAAAAAAAAAAAAGAATCCGAGGAGTATGTGTCCAGGTTCTGCTGGGAAGCCAGGGTTTGTTGTTGGACTCCAATCCCGGGAGGTGCAGCTACCGTGCAGCGATTCCCTGGGTCCGCCACCCCAGCGGACATTTCTAAGACATTTGACCTCTCTCCTCCACCACCTGCCCAAGTTTCCTCCCTCCACATCACCTTCCAGGACAATCTAGTTGGATTCTAGTCCCTGCCCAGAGACACACTGTGGCAGTGGTGAGACTCTCCTCCTGGGTGTGTGGGACATGTGGACTACTACTATGACCCCAGTGCGCTCAGAGATCTCTCCTGGCGGCAGTACCACTCAACATGACAGTCCCTCACAGGACACAATATTTAGATTAAAAAAAAAACAAAAACCCTGGGGTGTCCTGGGAGGCAACTTCCACTGAAGCTCAAGATTTGGAAGAGGAGCAGATTTTGGTGTCAGCATCCTCTGGGCCTCAGGACCCTCCAGGCCCAGGCTCTGGGTCTCCACAGCCACTCATGGATGGGGTGGGCACAGGAGAGACCCCCTCACCATCAACAGTCTCGGAAGGCTTCTGCTGGCGATGACTGTGTGGCAGCCGTGCCTGCAAATCCAGAGGGCAGGAGTGAGGATGACAAGGTGCAAGGGATACACCTAGGTGGGCTCCTGACCAGAGCTCTAAGCAGAGCTCCTGTGCCCCTAGGGTCTCTCAGGCCGAAGTACCCAGCCTGGGACAAAAGGTACAGCTGGCAGAGGACACAGGGGTCTGAGCAGGGCGGAGCCACTGTGGTGGGACTTCAGGTGAGTGCCCTAAGTCCTACCCCCAGGGTTTTTGGGAGGGACTCTCTGGTACCAGGATATGGGACCTGCCCCAAACACTACGTGCATAGCAAAAGCAGCTGTGAGCATCAGATGGAGCCCAGGCATCTGCATGGGGCCTGCTGGGTCCCCAGGCACAGCCACACAGGTCCCTGCCCTCTCTCCCTTTGATGTTGGAGTGAGGACAGAGAGCCCATTCTGATGCCAGGGGTACCTGCCCTGCCTTACCTCCTGACAAACCCAGCCGCCTCGCTATGGTAGTGGTGACAACTGCAGCTATCACCTGCTCAGTAGGTTCTACCTGCTCCTCCAAATGACCCTTACCAGATAGCCATGCTCTGTTCAGAGAAGCAACATGCCCAAAGCTACCAGCTAGGAAAACAAATTCACCCATAAAGAATGAACCCCCAAATCTTGTCCAGTGGGACTTACCCCTCTGGTATGAAAGATAGGGGTCCAAGAGAAACTAGAGAGGGTTCCAAGGATATCAACAGGATTCCTCTCCCCCAACCACAGCCTAACTCTGGGCCTCTCCAGGACTGGGGTGACAAGTTGCTGACCTGGACCCGAGGCCACAGAACTTATGTCTCAAGAGACACTATGCTCTGCGTCCAGATGGGCCCTCCATGGCCCTGGCTAAGCGAGGCCCCAGGGGGCTCTGCAACAGAGTTACCTCGACCTGTTGAACCCCACCTTTGTATAAATGAGGGTGTTGATACCAGAGCTACACAGTCCCCACTAACATCCAGGAGAGGGCTCTGGAGTCCCGCCTCCCTTGGGACAGCACTAGACCCCTTTCAGATGTTCTCCTATAGCTCACTGCCTAGAAGGGTTCCCACACCCACCAGCATCTTGCCCAGGAATCCCAAGATCCAGCTGGGAGGTGTGAGAATCAGTCTTGGGGGTGGGGTGGGATGATGGGCAAAGAGCAAACAGAACAGTGCTCACCGCATAAAAATCTCAGCAATTCGAAACCCTATTCCAGAGCCACCACCTGTGATGAAGGCGACTTTGTCCCTGGAGGAAGAAAACAAGAGGCTCTTTAAAGATATCCCTGGTAACTGAGGAATGGGGGAAGGCTGCCGCTCTGGAAGAACTTTGACCCTTTGAACTAGTCAGCTCTATCAAATTTAGACTGTTGACAAGGAAAGTGAATGATTTCTGTAAGAAAGTGCAACACTACAGCATGCATTCCTAGGCTTTCTGGGTTTTTGGGAAACCCTATTTCAGCCTGAAGTTCTATTTATAAAGTTGTCAGTTTAGTGAGTAATGTTTTCAAAACCTACAAGCCTTGCTCTAATTGCCCCTCACTTCCACCTTCCAGAACACCATTAGGAATTACCAGCACTGGCCAAGACAAACAAAACGTGCTCTCAACAGGACAAAGATCAAAATGTAGGAGTACTTGGACACGCCGAACCCCGGGCTCCACTCTCCGGGCTCCTCCAGTCTCCGGCCCCGTTCCCCGGCTCCCCCATTCCCTGACACCACTTCTCAAGAAGCCTGGAACGTAGGCCCGGACTCGGCCCTCACCGGAGCAGATCCGGGCAGAAGAGGTGGCGGTACTCAGGAAGACAATCGTCCTCACCAACATCGGGCGGCGGCTGGGCCATGGCGCTCGGTACAGACCCGCAGCAGCGAGGACAGCAAGAACCCGCTTCGAACCCGAGCACGAGCCCCCCACCACCCCAGCAAGCGGCGCTCTAGTGAGGTCACCTCCGCCACCCACCGAGCCCAGACCTTATGGAAAACCAGCCCATTCGCCCCTCCCACAGAAGCCCTAGCTCCTCCCAGGACGCCCCACCCACAGCTGCCTCCCCGCGGCTCTCAGGAGGCCTAGCTCGACCAGCCCGCTAGCCCCACCCACAGGGGCCTCCTAGCGTCTTCCAGGATGTTTTGCTCTCTGCGGCCGCAAGGCCTGCTGAGACTGGGGGCTGGCTAGTCTGTTCCAGAACCACGGTGGGCACAAGCCCAATTCTGCAGGCGGATTTCCATGGCTGCCAGGTGAGCGGTCCTCGAAACCGCCCGCAGGACTAGGTCCTTCCCACAAGATTGGGTGCCGTGGTTGGAACTAGCTGGACTCAGCGGACACTCGGTCTCCGCGTTAAGGTCAGGCTAGCGGCCGACAGCAGAGCCGCTGGGCTGCCCACACCACTGCTGGCTCAGCTGTGCGTTTAAAACACCTGGTACCCTGACAACGTGTGCCTCTGTTGATTGGGAAGGCGTCAGGCAAAACAGAAGGTCGCTGGTTGGAATTCTGGTCAGGGCGTGTGCGGAGGCAGCCTGGAGATGTTTCTCTCCCTCCCTTCCCTTTCTCTAAAAAATAAATAATTTAAAAATAAAACAAAATAAAATAGGCCCTGGCTGGTGTGGCTCTGTGGATTGAGTGTTGCCCTGCAAACCTAAGGGTTGCTGGTTCGATTCCCAGTCAGAGCACATGCCTGGGTTGTGGACTGGGTCTCCCATTTGGGGCATGGGAGAGGCAACTGATGTATATTTCCCTCCCTTCCCCTTTCTCTAAAAAATAAATGAAACCTTTAAAAAAACAAAACACCTGGTTTGAGTAATGCTGTGGGAGGTGTTCACCATGTAAATACCCTCATCTCCCAGGCACTGCCCTCTTGTTGCACAAATATCAGAAAGAAGAAGGTAAGGAGACTCTAGCACAGAAAAGCCATGGAAAACAAGAAAGGCCTTTACTTCGTTTGTCCAGCCACAGTGCCATTTCCCAAAATGACCCATTTAGAGAGTGATAAACGTCAGGGCACGGACTAGGGCATCCATCATCAGAAGGCAAAAGAAAAATAAAACGAGGACCAGGTCAATCTCAGGAGGTGTAATGACATGCAGTGTCCAGGACCTGTCACAAGTAGGGACACCTGAGGACCAGGAGCGAGGGGTGAGATACAGTGTCAACATGAAAACAAGTGGACACCAGGCAGCCACAGGAAGACATGAAGGGGGGGAAGGCCATGGTTAGCAGGCTCTTTGCCCTGAGGGTGGTCTCTGTCACTCCTTCCTGCCACCTCCAATCCTGCCCAAGGCAGGTGGCTCCTCCAGCAGAATCAGACCAGCTGGAGGTGGGGACAGCACCAACTTCAAGGCCCAGGTTGGATTCCCCAAAATTTTAGGTTGGAGGTCTCTGGACCTCTGCCAAAATCATACATTCTACAGTTATTGATCCCCTATGGGTTTATGAGATGGTAAGTTTCATCTCTACTCTCAAACCACTTACAACTTTGCATAAAGGCCTCATTTGTACCCAGTCTTAATAAGCACTCCACCCCCATGCACAGCACAGTGAGTTTTAATGTCTCCCCTTTGGGGGAGTGGAGAATAAACTACCCATTTCTGGAGACACCCCAAAGGTGGTCTGGCATCGTGGTATGGAAAGGATTTGATCCAATCTCTTGCTGGCTTAGAATACAAAAGGCACATAAAGTTGGCTCAGCTGATCTGGGCTGGGGTGGAAGGTAAACAGGGAAGTGGTCTAAGACAGACAGGCAGAACACAGGGGTGGGCTCAAGTTCATGTGGACAGAGGTAGTTGGTCCCAAGTGGATGCTGGGACAGCTGAGGGCATCCTGAGGCTCAGGATGGGTAGAGGCTGCTGCGGTAGCCTTCGTCTGCCCAGTCCACCAGCTCATTGCTCTGGAACCACAGCCGGATCTCCCTCTGGGCCTCCTCCACGGAGTTGCTGGCATGGATGACGTTCCTGTGCCAGGTGATAGGTAGCAGAGGTAAGGTATAGGCTTGAAATGTACCTTGGGTGTCCTGGAAATGGCCTGCTGATTCCCTACTGTCCAGAGGACTAAGACGGGTGATTTTGTAGGGGGAAAGGGAGAGGGGAGCTAGGAAACTGGGTTCCAGCCTGGCCTTGGCCTGTTACCCACAACCTTGTGGACCAGCTCAGACTTATTCGGAACCTCATTTTCCCACCAGCCCTCCCTCAGGGTATCTGGCAGGATATAGTCAGATAACGACAATGATGGCAGAGTATTCACACAACACAGGGAATGCTTTACTTCCCTGAAACTAGCAAATAGGTTGATGTCCCACCATCACAAGCCTCTTTTAGGTTTACTTTCGTCCAGCAAGACAAAGAGCTTGTGGCTGAATGTGTCAGGGCTCCTGTACCTGGTAATGTGGAAGCTGAAGTCTCCTCGAATGGTGCCAGGAGCAGCCTCAGCTGAGTCAGTGTGTCCTATCATGGCCCTTGAGGTGCAGACCACATTGGGGCCTTCCCAGACCTGCAGCACAGAGATAAAGGTTAGGAAAAGTGGGGATCACCAAGGGCTCGGCAGCTCTGGGCTCAGTCCAGGGCCCTCCACCCCTTCCACCAGGCCATACCATGGCCACCACAGGGCCAGAGCTCATGTAGCTGATGAGGGCTGGGTAGAAGGGTTTCCTCCGAAGGTCATGATAGTGCTCAGCAAGGACGCTCTCCGGCGCCTGGGCAATGTTGGGAGAAAGAATGAAAGCAGCCTCTGGAGAGGCAACCCCACTGGGCACTGGGGCAATGACTGCAGATAACACCGACATGGGCTGGTTCGCCAACCACAGCAGTGTAGGATAGATACCACCTCTCCATCCCTCCCTTTCTACTTCTAACAGGACATTCCTCCTGAAGTGGGGCTAAGACATGAAGGGCTCAGGTCCTCAGCTCTGTGAGAAGCCCTACCCCTAGCACCCTGAGGGACACCCACAGGCCAAAAGTCCTGTTACCTGAAGCATCTTCATCCCCACCAGCTTGAAGCCCCTCCTCTCAAAACGCCGGATCACATCCCCAACAAGCCGCCGCTGCACCCCATCTGGCTTCACGGCCACCAGGGTCCGCTCCCAGGTCCAGGAGGGCCCTCCTTTAGAAGAGGAGGGGTCAGGGATGCAGCCTCACCCTTTCACATCTCCCGACCTGTGTTCCCCTGCCAGGACCCAAATGGGCCAAGCCCAGATGATTCTGGACTTCAGTGTCTGCCTTCAGCAGAGCAGCTCTGGAGGGGAGTGAGGTGCCCACGCCAGGAGCTGCCCAGTATGGTGCTGCCTGTCAGGGACAACCACGGCACTGGGTTCCTGGGGGCTTCCAACCTGTCAGAGGGACCATGGCTCCTCCCAGGCAGTAACAGAAGCTGCCCATGATGGAGCTGGTGTACCCTGAGGAGGCATCTTGGAGAGCCAGAAGGCCCAGGAAGGCACAGAGATGCCACCCTGGAAAGAAAGCACGACTCTTGGCTTCACTTTTGATTCCTGTCCTTGGGGGTGATGGCACAGACACTGTCTGAACCTCCACTTGCCACGTCACCAGGGACCCTCAGCCCGTTTTCTGGGTCTAAGGTGAAGGAATAGCAGGCAACCAGGGAGAAGTGCAGTGTACTCTCCCCACCAGGTAGGCCATGGACACCAGGACAAAAGGGACCTGGGGATTGAGAAGGAAGGTAAAGGGGTTCCTGTCTGCAGGTAAGGGAATCTGAAGGGCTTCTCTTCTTACACCTATTGGCCAGGCAGGAACACTACACCGCTGTGGAATTTCAAGGCAAGCAGCTTCCAGACCCAGGGAGAGGGCACTGAGCTCTCCCCACCCACAGCCAAGGAGACCAGAGGCTGCAATACCCTCCAACAGCCACAGGCCACTTCCAGAGTTATGCAAACCCTCAGCATGGAATCCAGGGTCAAATTTTTAAGAGCCCAGATCCTGGGTGTCGGGCAAAGTCCTTTAAAGAAAGAACTGGTGGAGACAGAAGAGTAGGATTGAGGCTGGCCAGTGTCCCGGGGACATCTGCAGCTGCCTTTCCTCATCCCCAGGAGGAGAATTAACCAAAACCTGTGCTATGGGTGACCACCACATCCCTTCAGGGCTGAATGAGGCCCTCTGAGGGAAGCCCCCCTGGCTTGTTTGGTCCCCCCAAACCCAGAGCTTAGGGGACTCCTGTTTAGCCTGGCCTGGAAGATGGCAATTCACTCTTCCCAGCGTTTGGAACACCATCACATCTGGCTCTCAGCTAGGGTGGAGAACCAGTTATAGCACAGATATGGGCCCCAGGGCCCCAAATAGGTACGGCCAAGGAAGACTTAGGGCCTGGAGAAAACGCCCCAAAGACAGTTTTCGTGGGAGGGGTTTTCATTTGTTGAAAACTGACTCCCCCTTCAGGGAGCCCCAAGTCAGCAGGGGCCTTCATTATCACCCAATGTGGCCACTAAGCCTCCGGTTTCCTCCAGCTCCAGAGCTCCCGGTCCCTCTGCCCGGAGACAACCTAGGGAGGAGGCTTGCCGGGCTGGAGGGCAAAGGTGCGGAGGTCTGCGGGACCCTGGCCCCGGGCTGGTACCGGAGGAGAACGCTGCTCCAAATGCACCTTCCCATACAGCCGAATCACCGCGTGCCCCTCCCCGACCAGCAGAGCCCCAAGGCTTCCCAGCGAGTCAGGAGAGCTACGCTACCGGGCTCTGGCCCTCTGGCTCACCGCCCCACCGCCCCGCCCCACCCCCACCCCCACCCCCCAGGCTGCCCATTCGGGGAGTGCTAACCAAGGCTGAGAAGCGCATCCCACCAGCCCCCTCCGACGACTCACCTGAGTTGGGGCGCACTAGCAGACTGGGGACCGGGGTCCGCCGTCCGCACAACAGTCTCCGCAGTGATACGCGCCCTAAGAGGCCCGTCATGGCGCCCGACCCGGGGGCGCAGCCTGAAAGCTGAAGGAGCGAGCGGGACTATAAAGCTTCGAGGGAGGGAAGAAAGGGAGGCGGGGCAGAGGGGGGGGGGGGAGAAAGAGTGGAGGGGTGGAGGGAGGGATGGAGAGGAGAAGGGAGGGTGGGCAGACCGCTGGAAGTGGTGGCCAACTCCCCATCTACCCCCGCCCCTTCCCCTGCCCAACCCCACCCCAACCCTACCATCTGCATCCCCAACCCCCACCGTTCAAACCTTGCAAGGCTCGTGGAAAAGTATGTCAATTTCTGTTAAAGCCAGAAGAAAAAAGTATTTATAATAATATGAACCCAGCTTAGATTAGATTCATTTTCACACCAACGGAGCCGTTAAATATTCACAAAAAGCTGTATATATTTAATATGTACGATTTCGTGAGTTTGGAGACAAGTATATAACTGTAAAACCATCACGACAGCATATGCCATAAACATACCCATCTGTATTATTGTATCTCTTTGTTAAGACAATATAAGATTTGTCTTGTTAGCATTTTTTTGTCATTCAGATTGGCTGGTAACATCTTCTTGGTTTTCTTTTATCTAAAACTGTTTTCATTCTTCTATTTTTTTAAGTTGATATTTTAGAGGACGGGAAGGAGACAGAGAGACATCAGAAACTATTTGTTGTTCAATTCCTTTTTTTTCCAGTTTCAAACCTTTACTAATCAGTGTAAACCCCAACAGAATACACCCACATGATTTCATGCATTTGGAGGGTTAAGTAGAAAATTGTGCAGATGACTTCTGGAAGACCTTCATCTTCAGCAGCTTTATCATGAAACATTTCATTTAAAACTCGGGACCTTTCTTCACTTTGCTGTAATCTACATTCACAGAGTAGAATTTATCTTGCTCATTGGGACCCAGCTTGTTCTAGAGTTCCAGGTTATTCTTTTTGTCCCGACAGACATCTGGATGGAACAATGCCAGGCCCACGACCCGCTGCACTGCTCCAGCACCCTGGCTCCAATAAATACAAAGAGGGAGACTAAGCCTGGATGCTTCTTGGACTGACTGACTGATGATCAGACAGGGCATGGTTGTGACAGGGGGCCTGAAGGCAGAGAAAAAGAAAACCTCATGGCCCAGGAGCAAGTAGTCAATGCCTGTTGTTCCACTTCGTGATGCCTTCATTTGTTGAATTTTGTGTGTGCCCTGATATGGGACTGAACCCACAACCTTCGTGTATCAGGATGAGGCTCTAACCCACTGAGCTACTTGGCCACGGCTGTCTTCATTCTTAAAGGATGTTTTCTGCTAGATATACACTTATGGATGGACAGGAGTTTTTTTCTTTATTCCAGCACTTTAAAGATGACATTCCACTGTCTTCTGACCTCTGGGGTTTCTGATGAGAAGTCATAAGTCATAAAAATTGTTGTTCCCTTGAATGTCATTTTTCTCTGGCTGCTTTTAACCTTTTCACGTTCGGTTTTCAGTAGTTGGCTGTGATGCACCTGCATCTGTTCTTTGTATTGATTCTTCTGAGGCTTCACTGAGCTGCTTGAATCTGTAAATTAATGTCTTTCACCAAATTTGGGACTGTTTGGCTATTATTTCTTCACTAATTTTTCTGCCTCCCCTCTTTCCTGTCCTCTTTTGGACTCTAATTTTTTGTACACTTTTTAAAATTGTCATTCAAGTACAGTTGTCTCCATTTTCCCACCACCACTTTTCCTCACCCTACCCACCCCACCCACCCCCACCTCCCAGCCTCAATCCCCCCCCCCCTAATTTTAGGCATATTAGACCTCTTTTCAGGTCATTGAAGGGAGGAGCCAGGAAAGGTGGGCTGCTTTCTCTAGGAGGGGCCCCAGATAGCCTCACCCCCACCTGCCAGCCCAGGTCAACTGGTAAGGGGCACCCAAGGGAGCCATCAAATCAGAGCATAATTCTTGGGGCCTCCTTCTCTGGCAGCCATCTTCTGCCCCTATTACCCTCTGCCATGACCCCTTGGAAGGGGACCGGGAATTTGCTCTGGTCACCATGCTCTAATGTAGCTGGACCTTATTCCCAGTTCCATGTGGGCCAAGAGCCTTGAGGGCACCATCTGTGCCCTTCATCTTCTGGTTCACAAGTGCCCAGATCAAACAGGGATAAATAAGACCTACATGCTGAGCTTCAAAAAACAAAACCAAACTAACCTTCATTTAAGCATAATTCTAAGGATATGTACTTCCTACTTTTGGTTGGAAAATTACTTTTCTTTTTTTCTCATTAAACTTTGTTTGAATGGGTCTCAAAATTCTGTGAGAGATTTTTGGTCGAGTTGTTCCCATTAAAAAGTCGTGATTTTAGATGTAGGGGAGGGGAATTTTTTAAAAAGTACTGATTTTAGCCCTGGCTGGTGTTGCTTAGTGTATTGAATGCCAGCCTGCAAACCGCCTATTGGATTCCCAATCAGGGCACATGCCTGGGTTGCTGGACCAGGTCCCCAGTAGGGGGCGCTTGAGAAGCAACCATACATTGATGTTTTTTCTCTCCTCTCCCACTTTTCTCCTCCCTCAAAAAATAAATAAAATCTTTAAAATATATATTTATAAAAAATACTGATTTTAAAACTAATAACTTAAAACTGCCACATACCAAAAAAAACACAAAATGATCCACAAAATATTCTCTTTCCTTCTGAAGATTTTACTGTGCATTGTAATCATTAACCAGTCTTGACTTAAGTGAGTAATTGACACAGACAATTCTGAGACCACTGAAAATGATTTTTCTTTATGAAATGATTATAATAGATCTTAGCTGGACCTAAGAAAAACTTTGTTTTGGTAAAATATTCAGAAACCCTGCATTGTTCATAAAGCTTTTGGGAAAAACTATTCCTAAGAAATCCAGATGTCTAGGCACCCTGGTCTAGTTTATGCTGATATATTGGGGCACCAGGACAAAGAGGGAAAGTGACTTCTGCACCCACCCCTCCATGCCAGACCACATTAAGATTTGACCCAGTTCCTTCCTTCAGGAAACCCACTGTGGGGAAAGTGACAGGCTACCCCACGTCTGTAGATTAGCCTTGCACACAGGATGCACCTGGAGGAAGAGCCCAGGGTGGGTCAGGGACAGACAGGGTGCAGTGGCAGCCAGGGTGCCCGAGGGCCTCAATCATTTCTGTAATGTGTGCAGAGCTGAGCACCTGCCTACAGCCAGAAGGGAAATGGTAGGAGGTAAGGCTGGGTCCAGGGCAGTGGCACCAGTGCCTGTGGTAACCAGGAAGGAAGGAAGGAAGGAAGGAAGGAAGATGAGGGAGTGATGAGGCAGATGGGAGGGGAAGGGCAGTGGAAAGGCACTGGCAGCACTTTTTCCTCCACCTCCGCTGGGTGGGTAGAGAGGCCTGATAGGGAAGCCCTGAAATCCAAGTGCTGTAGCTCTTCCAACAATTATTTGGATAAAATTGAATTATAGTGGGGCTTTTTCCCTGCTTTTTTAACCTTTAGAATTTTTATTCAAAGCAAATATAATAATGCTCATTGTGGTCAGGCACAGACTGTCTGTGGGGAAATGTTCATGTGCTCCTCGCACCCCTCTAACAGCCCCCCCCCTGTGAGGGCAGACAGCACCCAACCTGGTCCACACTCACAGAGCTAGTGAGAGGGTCCGATGGTGTTCTGTTCTGGAAGTGGGATGTATCCACATTATCCAGCAATTAGATTTTCCTACTTTATTAATATTCCTTCAGAAGACTCATAGACCTATGTAAAAATTCATCATATATCAATATATCATAATTTATTCGCCCACCCCCCTCACAAAGTTCCCAAGTTTCTGCAACTACAAATGTTGGTGGAAATTAGGTTCTTCCATGGGATGACAAGGAAAGCATTCCAAGGACCCACTCACAGGAGACTGTGGCGTGGCATGGTTTGTGTATGTGGACAGTGAAGCTGCCCCCTGGGTTTCCATTGTTCTACTGAAACTGGAAAAGCCAGCATTCATGCTGCCTGTCACCACCACCCAATAAGCAAAGACAGGGACTGAATCTTTACAGGCGCTTTATTCGGATGGCTGGCAATCTGAGAAGGCAGGTTATGTGCCCTAAAAGAATGTCTGACATTTTCTTTCAAGAAAGCCTTTTTTATAAATATAAGTCAGGGATTTGGAATTCAAGAAAGAGGTTAATCAGATGAAAGTTGCAGTCTGAGAATTTCCCTAACATCCTTTTATCTGTGTCCTGGGCAACTGACTTTTTTTTTAAGATTTTATTTGTTCATTTTTAGACAGAGGGGAAGAGAAGGAGAAAGAGAGGGAGAGAAATATCAGTGTGAGGTTGCCTCTCGAGCACGCTGTGCTAGGGACCTGGCCAGCAACCAGGCATGTGCCCTGACTGGGAACTGAACTGGTGACCCTTTGGTTCACAGCTCGCACTCAGTCCACTGATGGGCGATTGATTCTTTATCTGTCTCCTATGTCCTGTGTCCTGGACTGGAATATGTCTCTCCCTGGAACACAATGGCTCAGATACCTTCTTGATTGCTTGCAGTCCTCCTAGGGTACAAAGGTGGAAATATTTTCAAGTCCAGTCCAGCATCTGGCCACCTTAGTGTGTGTTTCCAGCTGTAGTCCATTTCAGGCTCTGACCAGAGCCTGCCTGTGAAATTGCATGGCTGCTGGGACCACACAGCCATGGAAAGAACAGGCAAGTGCATCATACAAAGTCATGAGCAACAGAGCAGCTTCTTTGTTCCCTCTGGGATTACATTAGTTTGAGTTTGGGAAGGACCAGGTGCTTTTCAAACGAACTAATCAACTTCCTAAACTTTCAAAGGTTTTAGATGGGTTTACACCCCCTAGTCAGACTGGCTGGCCTCTAGGTCTAGCACCTCCCCCAGTGCCCCCCAACAATTTGGTAGTGGATGGGGGAAAGAAGGAGTATTAATTCCCCTTGGCAGAGCAGTGCTGTAATCCCCTGGGGTATGAAGCTTTAGCTTCCTGGCTAGCAAGTAGGCTTATGTTCCCCATTTTATTGAGCTCAGTGTCCAGTTCCCTTTGCTCCCCTTCTCAATATCTAGGTAAACTCTGACAGTAATACAAACACTTCTGCAGCCAACACCCTTGTGTCTGTCCTTAGGTTTTCGTGCTTTCTATTACATTTTCAGATTATGAGACTGACGCACTGCCTACTGTGCTAAGAGGGCACCTTTTTTCTATTACATTTTAATGTTGCCACAGTAACCTTCAAAAAGTTGGGGAGTTCACATTCCCACCAGCCAAATGTGAGGCTCTGCATCCTGAGAAGGCTACCTGTGCTGCTTTTGATAAGGAGTCAATCTTGTTTTACTTTGTATTAAAACGAGTGCAAGGGGAGGGGAAGGGGAATACAGGGTGGAGGAGGGGGAGAAGGGGAAGGGGCAAGAAAAGGAACATGAATGGAAGATTTATGGACACAGACAGTGGGGGATTGACTGGGATTGTGGGGGCAGGGTAGGGGTGAGCAGTGGGGAAGAAGGCAGGAGAGATGTAACTGAACAATAAAGACAAACAAGTGCAATTTAGCAGCATTTCATATTAGTGCCATTTGCATCTTCTTCTGTAAACTGCCTTTATATATCCTGTGTCAAATTTTCTTTCGGGTCTTTTTTCAATGTGTAAATTTCCTTTCTATACTAAGTGTATTAATCCTTTATCATAAGCATAGCACATATTTTCTCCCATTTGTCTATTAACTTAATTGATGATTAGCATGCTTTTTACTTTCATATTTTTATAGTTACATAACATTTTTTAAAATGTTGTAAAATAAGTAACATTTCCTTCATAGTTTCCTGTCCATCTGGGTTAAAATATTCTTTCTTATCTCTGTATTCTAAGTTTCTTTTCAACATTTTGATCATTTTATTCTTGGCAGCTGACCATCTAGTCTGGTCTAGTTGGAATTTACTTTTCTGTAGGCTGTGAGATAGAACACAAGACTGTGTATATGCAAAAGTCTCTAGACAGAGCCCTCTAGTCACTGAGCCTCAGCTTCCCGTCTTGAAAATGAGGCCCCTCAAGGTGGGTTCTAGGGTTCTTTCCATTGCTTATGCTCTTATTTAGCAGAGGTGTCCAGACTCCAGTCTAGGGCTCCTTGTCCATCTACTGGTTAACCAGCCTCCTAGATGGAGCACTGGAGTGAGGGGTGTCTGCTGCCTCCCCTCCTACCTGGTAGGGAACTTGAGCACAGGAATGTCAAACTGAGGTGGCACACTCAGGGGGGGTCCTTGGAGTGAGGCCCTTGGAGTGAGAATGAGGTGGTAGTGGGGGCCTCTGAGCCCAGCCTGGGGTAGAGGATGGGTCTTGGGTGGAACAGTGCCCAGAGCTGACCACAGCTGCTGTCCCCAGCATAACTGGGTCAGCGTAGTGCACTAAAATCACAGCTCGGCAAATCCCAGAACTGATCTCTGTCTCTTTAAATTCAGAGCTGCAGGAGCCCCACCTCTAGGGCCCAGCCTAGATTCCAAAGGAACAAAGGGTCTCTTTTGTGCTTTACACCTCCGGTTTTCTACCTTCTTTGGCTTTCTTCTTCCCTAGACCTCCCCCACTACCCCCCTTCACTAGCCTTAAGTGGCCTTGGGCTTGGTGGGTCAGCTTCTCCTCCCTCCCCTCCAGTTAACCCTCACCCCGCCTCCCACCAAGTATAAAGTTCAAAAGGTACAAACAGGTAGAGTACCCCCCATCCCATCCCTAGCCATGTGGTACCCTCCTCAAGGATAAACCCATGCCATTGCTGCTGGGCACTTCCAGTCATTCTGTGCCTTTGAAACATGCAAATAAATTAAAGAAAATTTTTTTCTTTCCAAACCAGTACCTTTCTTTACATTGTTCTGACCTTTCTTTTTCTGAGTTAAAGCTAAACCTGGTAGACCATTTCCAACCAGTACAGAGATTCCTGATTTCCTTCTGCAGTCACACTGTTATAATGGTGTTTGAGTCACAGTATGGGCGTCTGGGAATCAAATGCCCCATCGTCTCATTACCAAGATTTGGGTTCCCTTCTGCGAATGTCTCCACAGGGAAATGCACAGCGGTGGAATAACTGATGTAAGACTATGTACTCAGAGTCCAGAGGCTTCTCCAAGGCTCACTAAACATGTCTCTTGGCTCACCCTTGAGGTTTGATCAGACTCTCCGGTCTTTGCAGATTTGTTAGATGAAAGAAAAAGGTCTCTCTGGGTGCTTTTACATTTGAATTTCAAGTTCTAAGAAGGGAAGTTGGAGCCTTTTCTTGTTCATTTGCATTTCCTTTCCAGGAATATTCTCAGATAGTTTTGTATTGCAGGGTGGGTCTTTTTCTCATTGACTTGTGTAGGAGCTCTTTATTATTAATCTTATTAAAATTTGGACCTTTGTAATACAAGGTGCAAGCATGTCCTCTCCAGTTTATTATGACTTGTATTTTGACCGAAGTAGTTTTGCTCTGTAGAAAACAATTGATTTTCACCTAGTTGAATATTCCAGTCCTGCCTCTGGACTTCTGAGTTTGGGGCCATATGTAAAAATGCCTTCCCTTACCCAAGACTCGAAAAAATGTACCCGAGTTTTCTTCTAGTCTTGGATCGTTTCCTATTTACACTTAAATCCTTAGTGTTTGGGATCTATCCCTGTGTAAAGTGTGAAGAGTTAGTCCCACTCACCAATGTGAAATTCTCATATGTCCATGAAACCTTTCATCTTAAATTGTAGTTTACACACTCTTGGCAGCTTTGTGGAGACAGCCAGGGAGTTCAGCTCTGTGAGGGGCGCAGCAGTGGCCACCAGCACTGGCGAGGCAAAAATGGGTGCGGGACCCGCCAGTCTGTGGTGGGGTGCCTCCCCCAGCGCCCCTCCGCGTCCTGCACCGCCTCAACTGGCCCACGATTCAGTGAACCCACAAACACTTGCGTCCCGTGGGACCACCCAGCGCCTCCAGGAAGCATTTGGGGCTCTCTGAGTGGCCATCGCCACCTGGAATCTACTGCGCGTTCTAATTCAATGCACGGATTCCTGCCTCTGACGCAGGTCCCCGGCGCTTACCACAAGATCCTCCCCCAGCCCTGCATCCCACCTCCCTCGCGCACCGTCCCCCTCCGTCGAGACCTCTGTCTCCGACCCCTTTCCCTCGTGCACCCCTCCAGTCTCCACGTCAGCCCAGGACTACGCCCGCCCTCCCCGCGGCCTCGGGTCTGCCCCCCGCCCTCAGGTTGGCCTCGCAGCTCCTGGGCCCCGCGTCAGCCTATACTATATCATAGGCACAGATCGCTCCTGACTCCACATCGCACCCCGCCACGCGTAGCCCCTTCTCCCATATAGCTCCGGACTCCGCATTGCCCCCAGCGCCGCACACCCCCGCCCTCGTATTCCTTCGGATCCCGACCCTCGTGCCCCCCAGCTCATCTCTCTTCGCCGTGCCCCAGCCCCTCTTCAGCCGGCTACCGGCGGGGCGGGGCCTCGCAGGCGGAAGTGCCCGGGGCGCCGGTGGTTGCAAGCTGCCCGGACGATGGGAGCCCAGGGCAGCGGGGGCGGCGGCAGGGCCCGTAGTGGCGGCGGTGGCTGCCCGGGCGGCGGCGGGGGCAGGCGGCCGGAGACACGGTCTGTGTAGCGCTGGGCCAAGCGCAGAGCCATGGGCCGGGCTGGGGCCCGGACCGGGGGCGCGGCGGTGGTGGTGGCAGTGGCGGGGCCGCTGTTGCTGCTGCTGCTGCTCGCTTGGCCCCCTCCTGCCGCCTCCGGCGACACCAGGAAGAGTGGTGAGCGCGCGGGGATGGACGGACGCCATCCCGGGGGCACAGGCTTGGGGGGGGGGCGGGAGCGGCCGGGGGTGGGGGGAGGGCCTGGGATTGTGACTCACCTGGAGGCACCTGTGCGCTCACCTGGAGTGGGCACAGTGCCCAGGTCCTCACCCTGGGTTGGGGGCTCAGGTCAGTACCTTGCGTGTGCGAGCGGTCGTGGTGGAAAGTATAGGGCCGAATTCGGCCAGACCGGCCCTTTTGGAGCGTGCCTTCCCTTCACTCTTCCTGTTTCCAAAGCGTTCACGTCGGCACGACGGTCGCACGTCGGGATGTGGGGGTGGAGGGGTCCAGGGAGACTTAGCCTGGACTCCAGCAGCGAGGCCATTGAAAAGAAGGGTTAAGCAGTGTGATTACAGAGGGCAGGGGCATCTGGTCTGGGAGAAGGGGCAGAGTTGGGAGAAAGTTGCATAGATCCTGGAGTAGGGGGTCCAGGTGGATATCATGTTTCCACCCCTCCCACAGAGACCACCAACCTAGTGCTGTCACTTTCAACAGCTGGCCTTGCTTCTTGGATGCACTCAAGGTGGCCCTGACGAGCCTGGTAGGCTAGGGTGGTTCTGAAGAAATGGGTACTTAAGTGGTATTGATGAACTGGCTTCCCTCCCTTTGCATTTCTTCTGTTCAACACCCAAGATAGTGGCCAGACCGTGAGGTGCCCATCCGGGTTCTGCCTGGGGCTTGGGGGTGTTGAGTAAGTAAGGTCCTCTGACTTCTATGGCACAGGACTCCTAGAGGGCCATGTGACCAGGTTGCAAGGGCCCAGATGCCCCCCACCCCCCTGCAGTTGGGCAGTTTATCCAGCATGATTTAAGACTAGCTCCCCTTGATTTTTCTGCTCCCAGCCCCTCCTCCGTTTCTGAAATCTTGCTCCTTCAAGCTCCTATTTCTTTGAAGACTGTGACTTTGGTTTCTGAGCTTGAAATGAGAGGCGATTTCCTGGAGATGACTCCTGATTAAGTTGTTCAGTTAGATACTGCCACCCTTATTTTCTCCATCCTGGAGGGTGGGGTAAGATGAGGGGGTCACTGGTGGGCTTTTTATAGAGATGGAAAACCTGGAGCAGCCCTGGCTGGGTTGCTTAGTTCATTGAAGCATTGTCCAGATACACCAAGGTTGCACGTTCAGTCCCCAACCCACATGGGAAGCAACCAATGAATGCATAAGTAAACGTAACAACAAATCAATCTCTCTCTCTCTCTCTCTCTCTCTCTCTCTCTCTCTCTTTATCTCTCCCTACCTTCCTCTGTCTCTAAAAATTAACAAACTTAAAAAAAGAAAAGACCCTGGGGCAGCTCCTCACCTCCCAGTCCTGCTCAAGGGGCATACAGCAGTGTAGCCCTGGCTTCTGGGACCTGTGAGTGTGCAGGGGCTCTCCACAGAGTGCCGGTCCTGGTTTGGAGGGTATGGAACAGGCTGCCCTCACTCAAGTTCCCAGGACAGGATCAGGGACTTTCTTTGTCCTCCCCTCAACCCTGTCTCCCTGTAGGGTGCTGTGGGGCAGGGCATGGGTACACGTGGCCCTTGCTTCCTGTTATCAGAGATGTGACTTCCGCATCTGGCTCAGACCGATGCATTAATGGTTAATGGTTGGGTATGTTCACAAAGATAACAGTATGGGTATCTTGGGCAAGGAGATGGGGCTGCAGAACTTAGGGTTGGTGCTGGAAGGGCTGTGTAGCCTGGGGGTGGGGGACCACTGGATCTTAGGGAACCTTGAGCACATTTCTTATCTCTTGTGCACCTGCTGAAACTTTACAGCCACCAGCTGTGTTCCAGGTATCCTCAGGCTGTTACTCCAGGGCTGGAAGGGGGCCAGAGAGCCTTGCCTCTCTCAAGTTGGGGCTCTACCTCTAGGGGCTGAGTACCTCACTGGCTGACTGTTTCTCTAAGACCCCGTAGTCCTGAGGTAAGGGTAGGGAGCTATCCTGCCTCATCTACTAGCACTTAGATTTTTTTGGTCCTTGTCATGTTATCCCCTCAGGAGAAAAGCTTATATTAGTTCAGTGGCTCCTAGCCTCCCCAGGCCACAGCCTGGTGAGTGGGAACTCGTTGCTAGCAGACACCTAGAATGTGCCCTACATGGTGCTTACCTCTGCATGGTCCCCAAGTTGGGCTCCTCTGGAACTCAGACTGGCTTGCAAGTGGGTTGTTATATTTTCTCAAGATTCCTCCATTGGAGGGTCAGGAGGCTGCTCACCTGGCTCCCTTACCTGCTCACCTGGCTCTCACTGAAGGGGCCCAGAGCCTGCTGCTGTGGTTGTGTGAGCCAACAATTCTCCCAGCAGGGCAGAGGGAGGCTGCACACTGTTGTGTCCAAAGTGTATTTCTTCCAGAAGCACTTTAACATCCATTAACCTTGGAGGGAGGGGCACCCAAAGGGAGGTGCTATTTACCTCAGGAGTCTGGAGCACAAAGGGGGGAAGGGACACTCAAGGTCACACTGGGCACAAGGCCTAAGCTGGTACTGGGGCCAGGATCCCTGCCATTCAGCTCAGGCACCTTGTGGCCAGACCCCAGGCCCGGTGGTATATCCATGGAAGTGCAGAGCATGCCTGTTCTGTGGGAGCCCCAATAGAGAGGGTCCTGGGTGGGCATCCTCACCCACTCATGGGGTAAGCAATTACATTGTAGGACCTGGGCCTATGCTCTCATGGAGGTTGTGCCCTAGTCAGTGGACACTCCAGGAGGGGCCTCACCCAGGTGGGGTCTGGGCCTGTGTGGTGAGCCCCAAAAGATCCTCAGAGCTGATCCAGGAAATGCTGGTATGATAGGAAGTGAGGAGTGAGGGCAGATTTTTGGAGTGTGTGGGGGTGGGGGCCTGAGAATGACTGCAGGGAGTGGGGCACAGGGAGCCCCAGGTGAGGCCATGGGCAGTCTGTGTGCCGTGAGCCCTGCCTTGTCCCTGTGTCATTCTGCATGGGCACATGCCCATGGGAGAATGGGGGCCAACTGACCCCTGGTCCTTATAGCTAGCCAGGCGTTCAGCCTGGGGTCCCCTCTACCCCAGTGTCTCTGCTTGCTGCCTCTCTGGGTAAGGAGGAGTCAAAGTTCAGTCCAGCTCTGTCCTAAGTTGTCATGGGCCTGAGTAGGTAGGCAGCCTCCAGACCCAAACTCCATCACCTGTCAAGTGGGACGAGTTGCCAGAGACAACTGCCAGGGGCTGGAGGGGTACAGTAACCTTTGCCAAGGTCGAAGTTGGAGTGCTGGGCATCCCAGGGGCTCTAACCAGCCCACCATGGTTTCCCTTGTCCTATCTCTCTGGGGCCACGCTGGGGCAGAAGGGCCTCTCAGTTTCTCTGTCTGCCTCCCACATGGAGGTGCAGACACCCTCAGGGCACCCCTGGTCTGGCTGACAGTGCCTTCTTCCTGCAGACATCAGGCTGGTGTCTGAGCAGTTCTCGCAGTCCCCGCAGAAGCTGTCTTTCTACAGCTGGTATGGCAGCGCCAGACTCTTCCACTTTCGAGTGCCCCCGGATACCGTTCTGCTGCGCTGGCTGCTGCAAGTGTCCCAGAGTGGCGGCCCCACGTGTGCAAATGTGGAGATCACTGTGTAGGTGCCTGTCTGCCCGCCTGCCTGAGCCCAGCCCAGGGCCCAGCTCTGATGCCTACCCTGCCACCCCATCTCCAGGTACTTCCGCTATGGCGCCCCTCCGGTCATCAACCCACTGGGTACCAGCTTCCCTGCCAACACCTCTCTGCAGCCCTCCTTCTTCATCAAGATGTTTCAGAGCAACACTTCCATCAATGTCTCCCACCCAGCACCTGGGGACTGGTTTGTGGCTGCCCACCTGCCCCCCTCATCCCAGAAGATTGAGGTGAAGGTGAGGGATCTGCTTTCCAGGGATGGAGGGGCAGGACACTTCTGTGCAGGAATGACTGGTCCCTCTTATTGGCTCTGCTGCGGCCCTCCCATTTCCACGCCCGATCCCCACCAGGCCCGGGGTCTCTGGTCCTGCCCCATCCCGTGCCTATGCATGCCCACCCCTACCTCTCATTCTCTTTCTAGGGATTTGTTCCCACCTGTGCCTACATCTTCCAGCCTGACATGCTGGTTATGCGGGCAGTTGAGGTCTCCATCCTGGAGCCTGACATACCCTTTCCACAGACCCTCCTCTCCCACCCCAGCTACCTCAAGTGAGTGGGGACCTTGGGGAGACCCAGCCTCCGGTTTTGATGAAGTGGGTGGTAATACTGTCCTTAGTGCGGGTGAGAAAGGTGGGGTTCTGGGTCTTGGGGTCATGCTGGAAAATGAGGCCACCACCCTGAGTGTGAGCGATGAGGGAAGGTCATTGGAAGCCACAGAGCCTGAGTGAGTCCATCCCCTTTGGCTGCAGAATCTTCGTCCCGGAGTACACCCAGGAACTGTGGCTGGAGCTGCAGGGCTGTGCGTCCAATGGGAGCCTGGGCTGTCCTGTGCGCCTCACTGTGGGCTCAGCTACCTTACCTAGCAACTTCCAGAAGGTGCTCACCTGCACTGGCCCCACCCAGGCCTGCTACCTGCTGTTGCCTTCACCGCCCTGGGACCGGTGGTTGCAAGTGACAGCCAAGAGCCTGGCAGGGCCCCATGTATCGGTGGCTTTCAGTGCTGTAGCTGCTCTCACAGGTGGGCTGCATGGGGAGGGCAGTGGGTACTGGCTCTGGCCCCTGCCTTTGATCCCCAGCCATTTCTCCAGCTGAGCCCCTTGTTCTCCTGACAGCCTGCAGGCCTTGGATTGTAAACTTCCAGCATCTTCTGCAGAGTAGTCCAAACCAGAGCTGCAACACTTCCACTGGTCTGCTCTCCCCAAGCCCTGGCTACCAGGACCTGGGCAGGAACAGCAGTGTGGGTGGTGGCCCCTTCTGCCTCATGAACTACCAGGTCATGCGGGAAGACACGGATGTGGTGTCTGTGCACTTCAGGCCCCTAGACAGGGTCTCTGTGCTGGTACAGTCAGACATGCCTTCGGTGATGCGGCTGCAACTCAACACGGCCATGGACAGTGGGGGCTCCCTCACCATCTCCCTGTGGGCCAACAAGGTACCTTAGTTTGCCAGTGCCTTGTGGCTGGGCTCAGCTTAGGGCTCAGACCCTTCCAGACTGAGCGATGCTGCTCAGGCCTTCCTGCATTGACTTTATCGTGCACACTGGGTTAGGGTGGCCTTTCAGGCAACAGAGTGACCCCAACAGGCATTGGGCCATAATAGGGGCAGCACTCACAGAAAAGGGGGTGTTTTACAGGTCCCTCCAGCAGGAAGAGGGTTGGGCTTGAGGAATTGGGACTGCGGGTGGATCAGAGTCTGGGTGTTGCCAGGCCTGGAGGGGAAGTATCCTGAGTAGGCCCGGGCAGGGGGAACCACAGACAGTACCAACCACCAGGCTGGGAACTTAGTACTGATACGGTGTGGCCACTCCTTCCAGAGTATGATTTCCAACAACACCTTGGTAATGGTCTGTGTGAATGCCGCCTCACCCTTCCTCAGCTTCAACACTTCGCTCAACTGTACCACAGGTATGGGCAGGTGGCATCTGGCTAAGTGACCCCTGCCAGCCCCTCCAGCCCCCTCTTACCAGGCCTTCCTGCTCCTCCTGCAGCCTTCTTCCAGGGCTATCCACTATTTTTGAGCACCTTGTCTCGCAAGGCCAACCTTATCATCCCGTACCCAGAGACAGACAACTGGTACCTCTCCCTGCAGCTTGTGTGCCCCCAGAGTCCTGAGTAAGTAAACTTGGAGGCTGCCCTGGCTGGGTAGCTCAGCTGGTTGCAGTATTGATCTGATACACCAAGGTTGCAGGTTCAATCCCTGGTCAGGGTACATACAAGAATCAACCAATGAATACATGGATAGGTGGAACAACAAGTCAATCTCTTTCTCCTTCCCTCTCAAAAAGAATTTGGGGGCTAGGATGGAGACCACCCAGAGCTGCCGGGTGACTAAATCATTGCAATCAGGGCTATGATTGGGCTGCCTGCATCTGAGTTTGGAAGTGACCCAACTTCCTGTAAGCCACACAGGGTAAATTGTCTTCCAGGAGTTACAAAGGACTCTCTTCTCTACCTGGTCACCTCTCCCCAAGCAGCCTTGGGAGCAGGACACAAGGAAGGGGACTGGTTCAGGACACAGCCTTAGACAGGCTGGCATGCAGTACGATGAGAAGTGGAAGGTGCCCCTCAACTTCTGCAGATCTCACGTCTGCTGTCCTCCAGGGCCCAGAGCCGGGGGTCTCAGTGCTGTGTTCATGTGTCCAAGATCTTGACGGGAGCCCTGGCAGGGGCTGGTCAGCAGACCTCAGCAGCCAGACCTCCCATGGCCCCTTCCTCGCAGGGAGTGTGAGAAGGCCTCAGTCCTTGTGGAGACCACCTTGTACTTGGTGCCCTGCTTGAATGACTGTGGCCCGTACGGCCAATGCCTCCTACTGCGCAGACATGGCTACCTGTATGCGGGTTGCAGCTGTAAGGCAGGTGAGGGCCAGGCCTGGATACGTGCGGACACTCCTGTCCTTGACTTTCCAGCCTTGTGCCTTTCTTTAGGAGCCTATCCCACTCTGCCAAGGCTGGAGAGCATCCTCACAGAGCCGAGGGCAAATGCCTTCTCCCCACTCCTGCCACATAACTCCAATCTCCCATGCAGTCACAGAAAGACCCCTAGAGATAGTACAGCCTTCTGACCTTGGCCTCCCTTGCCACACATGTCCCATACCTGACCCACAGCAAACCACATCTGCTCCATACCTACATACATGTATCCCATACCTGTCACATCTGTCCTATACTTGTCCCATACTTGTCCACACCCGCCCACATCTGCCCCACACCTGTCCCATGCCTTTCCCACATCTGCCCTCACATGCACACACCTGCCTCATACCTGCTCCACACTTCTTTAAACCTGCCCATGCCTGCCACATAGCTGTCTGTGCCTGCCCACACTAGCCTATACCTACCCACACAAGCCCCACACCTGTTCCAGCCTGCTTCTAGGGGAGAAAGGGGCTTCTCTGGAGGGCCTTGGGTGAGGGTTGGCCCTGAGGTTCCAAAGTGCCTCCCCACAAGCCTGGCCTCAGTCACGCCCCCCTCAGCCCCCTCAGCACTGCTTTGGCCCACAGGCTGGCGTGGGTGGAGCTGCACAGACAACAGCACAGCCCAGACCATAGCCCAGCAGAGGACAGCGGCACTCCTCCTCACCCTCAGCAACCTCATGTTCCTGGCTCCCATCACCCTCTCTGTGTACCGCTGCCTCCTGGTGGAGGCCTCCGTCTACGCCTACACCATGTTCTTCTCCACGGTAGGCTTGCCTGCTCCCACGGGGATGGTGGGGAGGTCTGGGCCTCCGCTTACTGCCCTGCCCTGCAGTTCTATCACGCCTGCGACCAGCCGGGGGATGCGGTGCTGTGCATCCTCAACTATGATACGCTGCAGTACTGTGACTTCCTGGGCTCTGGAGTGTCCATCTGGGTCACCATCCTCTGCATGGCACGGCTGAAGGCATCCCTGAAATATGTGAGTGACTTTCTGACATGTGGATCTGGGTTCTGAAGGAGCAGCGGCCCTTGTCTGCTGAGGGAGAGACAAGAAAGAGGGTCCAGCTGCTGCTCTTAGAAAACTCTCACCTTTTATAATGACCAGTCTCCCTCTGGAAAAAGCCTCTGCCAGCTGGAAGGGACTATGCTGGCTGCTTGAAGCATTCTGGGAAAAGACAGTGGAAGACAGGGCTAGGCAGGGACCTTCCTAGCCCATTTCTCTCCCAGAGCTCTATTCAAAGAGGAGGGCTGAAGCCTCAACCCTAGGCCACACCTCCCTGAGAAGCCCCGAACTGTGCTCCTGGAGTCCCTGGTGCTGGGAACACTTCAGGGCTTTTTTGGCCACAGTTGGGCCTGCCTGATGGAGACATGTGACCAGTGCCCTGCCTGGCTAAGCTGTGCCTCAGAAATTTACTTGTGGATGAATCAGTAACTAGAGGAGGGGTGCCTCCCTTCCTGCTGGCAGAGCAGAACAGTGTGTCAGCAGCTCCAAGAGGGGGCAGGCAGAGGTGCTGAGGAGCACTGGGGTGATAGTTCCTGCTGGAACTTGTGTGATCACAGATGACCCTGGCCTGTGACCCTGTGGTTGTCCCTGTGTCTTGCTCAGGTTCTGCTTCTACTGGGCACGCTGGTGTTCGCCATGTCTTTGCAGCTGGACCGCAGGGGCGCCTGGAACATGATGGGGCCTTGTCTTTTTGCCTTCGTGGTCATGATCACCATGTGGGTAAGGAGCTCTTACCTAGACCCCCTCTCCTGGCAATTGGAGTAAGAAAGTGTTGGCTCCCCACAGATTCTGCTCATGTTCCTGGTCCTGGGTCTGCATCCTCCCAGGGC